TTGATATATGCAAGATTATACCTTCTCTTAGCTGGAAACCTCCACTAAGTATTGCAATTTGATTCCAAGCATAGCTAGCTACTTAAAAGATTACTTGCTGTTCCCAGTTTTGAGATCTATCCATCTGAGCATGCGCGACCACGCCCAAATTTTTGGAGCACATGCTTCTTTATTTAATTAACAAAATGGCGGCATGAGGTAAGCTGGTGCGATCCAACAGTCACAGTATCACTTTTTCCTTTCTTGGAGAATGATTCTAGGGAACAAGGACCTGCGCATACCCTGTTGGAGTAGAATGGTGTAAGAATTAGCCTTCTATCACCAGGCAAGATTGATATATCGACCGACAACTGGATTGACAGGACTTTCCTGATGATGATGATGATGATGATGATGAAGATGAAAAAAGGTGGCTGAACAAAACGGCCGGTTTGCAGATTTTTGATTTTTCTCCCAGAAAAGGTCTAGAGCCACGCTAGTGGTACCAATGGAGTCCTCTGGTCAAGATAAGGTCCTCTAAGAAGTCTGGTAAGCATAAGAGCTCGTTTTCCCGGTATAGCAAGGCTGCAAAAGTCGTGGCAGCCATTTTGTTTGGGGGTGAATCCTACTTAGTAACGCTACTGCGTTACTAATTATAGTACAGTGACTTTGGCCAGGTTTTTGACTAACTTTTAAAATTTATAAAAAATTCAATTTTGATTTTAATCAGTTTAAACTTGCTACGCAACATGATAACATGAATATGTATCAGAAAAAATTATTAAAATGGAGAATTCTTACCTAGTCATTTTTGGCAAAATTTACAGGGACTTTGACCTGATTTTTGAGTAACTTTAAAAACTCATACAAAATTCAATTTTGATGCGAATGAATTTAAAATTTCTATGCAACATAAGAACATGTATATGCATTAAAAAAAGTCATAAAAATTAAAAACTCCCTCCTGGTCATTCTGACCTACTTTTATTTCTACTCTCTTTCTCTTTGATAGAAAGAATCTCTTAGATGATCTACCTTCATCTCTCTCCTCTTGCTCCAGTTTACGTTCTCTCATTATATCAATCAATCGTTTCTCCTCACTGCCAGATGTGATTTATGACTGCCCTAGTCTTGAGACATTACTGGCCAGTGACAATCAAATATCATTCCTAAATGTTGACGGGTTTTTAAAGATGAGGTCTTTAATGACGCTTGATGTTAGCAACAATGACATATCACAGGTACCACCCCAACTGGGACTGGTTCAATGGCTGAAGTGAGTTTTTAATATTTTTAATTTTATGAAGGGGTACTTACTGTGATGGGACTTTATTATTTTGGAAACATTAATTGCATTAATATTATAGCCTTCCCATTAAATTTCACAAAATTTTTGTTATTCTGCCAATTTTTGCATGTCTAAAAATTTAAATTTTTTATTGTCCCTAAAATTCTAATTATTTTGTAAATTATAAAAGGAAACTTTTCTGTAGGCACTTGGAGTTGGGAGGTAATTCATTTCGTAATCCAAGACCAGCTGTACTGGCAAAAGGTACTGCTAGTTTACTGGAGTATCTCAGAGACAGGATACCTACTTAGTAATAGTACAGGTACATGTACATGCATATACTGTGGAGTGTGCACCTGTTGAACTAAAACTCTTGAGTGTAACTGGTACAAATACATGTAATTTAGTGTTTTACTTTATAAATTTTAAATGGATAAGAAACATTTTTTATCTAATATATTGCAATGGGAGCCATGAAACAAAAATTGCTAAAAGCAAACATTGGGTAATAATAGAAATATGTAATAGTGATGGTACTAATAGTGAAAATTACATATAAAGATGTCATAAAAGTTAAGTATTGTAATTTTGGCACCATTTTTAGAATAGAATTAGCTCAAATTTTCTTGATAGACAATTAGGTTTATCTTCAAAGTTAAAAATCAAATGGTACATTAAAAATTTAAGATTTAACCATAGTGTGTTTCTACTTGTAAGACAAGCACAAAAAATAAATGAATTATATTATATATTCCACTGGTAGTATATCATTTTGTATTTATTTTCACGACTAAGGAGTGTGCATAAAAGATGGAGTACAATATTAGTTAACTGGTATCTCATATTCAGCAGGCGATGGAAGAGAAGTAGGCGTCTGAAACCATGTTATATCATACACTGGCTCAATAGTTGATCTATTAATAATTTTAAATGATAATAATAATCATATTCTATTGACTGACTCTGTTTGTTGTATTGCATTATATGCTGGACTATTCTTCGTTGGTATATCATCAGCAATACTATAAGAAACAATGTGAATTAGAGTATCAGCAGTATATACTGTGTGTGATGTGTGTTATAAATGTAGAAAAGCTAGTACATTTTAAAGTTGCTCAAAAATTGGGTCATAGCCCTTGTACTAGAGTACATTTTGCCGAAAATGGCTAGGTGAGAATTCTCCACTTTTATAATTTTTCTGACACATATACATTCCCTTATGTTGTATAGAAAGTTTGAGCTGATTCTAATCAAAATAATTTCTTATAAACTTTTAAAGTTGCTCCAGAAGCTGTATGCTTAGCATGCTTTGTTAAAAACCCTGCCCAAGTAACTAACAGTACAGTACAAGTAACTAACTTCTCAGTAGTAGCTTCATGATTGCATACCATTAAGAAGTCATCATTTGGTTCTCTAAACCACAGAAGTGTACTAAATATTATTAATGAATATTATCATTTACCTCTTCTGCACTTTATTCTTACACAAAACACATACAAGTATAATCAAAGCCAGTGCTAGCAGTATCATGGGTATATATACTACAGTTACACCAACAATCAATCCAGTGTTGTCCCCATTATTTCCTTCATTATTGTTGACTAATATAGTGATTGCCACAGTAGTAGTAACTGTTACAATACTTGTCACAGCAGGATGAACTACAAACAGAATAGCATGTATAACATTATACTAGTTTTTCTCATTAATGATGATACTAATGTAAGTGACTACAGTAATGGTGATTATTTTGATTCTTTAAAAGCAATAAATTAGATCTATACTGTCTTACTTGATGATATATCTGTCAGAGTCTGCGTACAAATTGATGATGTTCTTGATAAAATAGTAGGAGTTACAGTAACATCTAGAAGTGGAATATTTCACTGCCTTTATATGGTTTACATATGAGCTATTACATAATGATAATTTTTAAATTCTACTTTTTCTGTATCGTTAAATTAAAATCATTTTAAATGTGATGTTACTTTTACTGTTATTTTGCATTACCTGGTGGTATTGGTTGAGTCCTCTCTCCTTCATAAATGATTCCATTAACATTAAATGATATAGATATAGAGAACAAGTAGTTCAGATTAGGATCTAATCCTCCTATTAGACCTTCAGTAGTATCACCTGGGAATACTCTCATTCCTGTCTCTGCTTGTCTCTTCTTTCTTGAGGAGCTATTGGTTGACTCATAATAAACAGTATAAAGACTAGCTCCAGAAACAAAACCCCACTTAGCCCTCACTGCTGTAGAATTGAGCTTTGTTATAGAAAAGGTTTGAATGACAGCTAAAAAATTTTGAACAATATCATCATAGTATTCTCAATAATTTCTTACGTATTTCAATAGTAGTGTATTCTCTATCAGTCCATTCTCCTGGTCCAATACTAGTATATGCTCTCACTCCAAAAGTATAACTAGTATTAGGTATCAATCCTACTATAGTGTATAGAGTGTTAGTAGTGTTAGTTATATTGTATGGACCAGTACTGGTAGACTCTCTATATCTTATCTCATATACTGTAACGATACCATTAGGTATTGTTGGAGGATTCCATACAATAACAATTTCAGTTGGTGGCGTTGCATGTGCTAGATTAGATATCACACCAGGAACTGTGTTAAGATCATGTTAAACTGAACAATATCTCATTGACTTACTTGATTCAGCAGTTAACTGTATTTCTTGTCTAGCTGGTCCATTCATATTATAATTATAAGGTATTATACTCACAGTATAATTAGTATATGGTATTAATCCAGTGAGATTAAACATTCTGTTGTCTCCTCCAGTGATATTAACAGTATAACTAGTGTTTGAAGTGATGTTAGTGTATGTGAGGTAGTATCCAGTGATTGGTCCATTCCTTCCATTGCAAGGTACTTCATCCCATGAGACAGTCATTGACACTGACTCTACTGATGAGAATTTAATATCACCCACTGGTGCAGTAGGAGCTATTATTGAAAAAAATGATAATAGCATTAACTCTATGGTCATGCTTACCAGTTGAGAGTGTAGTTAAATTACTAGTATGGAAATTTATCAAATCAGATCCATATACCCCAATAAGATCAAAGCCACATTGACTGTAAGGAGGTATACCAGTTGAAGTATGTGGTGATAAAACTGATGTTTCACTATTACTAATGAATGATGATTCACATACTCTCCTACACCTCCTATTAATATTATAACTAATTGGTACTACAGCAGTTGGTGGACTCCATGTTAACGTAATGGTAGTACTTGTAATTAATGTAGCCATAAAATCATTAACCACTGGATCACCTAAAAAATGCATTTGTTAGTACATAGTACATGTAACTTTCATTGTGTTCAGTTATAAAATACTCACTAATTGTTAACGTAACTGAAGCATTACCACTAGGCAGAAAAAATGATCCATAAGATACTACATAGAAAGTGTATGTAACCCCTCGAAATAATCCTGATGTTATATTGATTGTTGTATAACTAATGTTGGATACACTAACAGGAGTATTACTAGACAATTGATAGTAGACCTCATAACCAGTAGCTCCTGATACAGTAGACCAGGAGAGTCTTACATGAGATAAACCAGTACTTAATCTTGTAGCAGTTAAACCAGTTGGAGCATCAGATACTGATAATGTACATGTGTATTAATATAGCCATCTAATCGTAACATTGCTAACCTGATATACTCAATGATGAGGTACTAATAACTGCATTAGGACCATTACTGCCACTAATAGTACCATTAGTTACTCTGGTATTAGATACAGTACACTGATAGCTACCAGCTTCTCTCAGTCTCACTGTTACTGTCACTCTTGTAACAGATCCTGGTCCATTCACTATCACACGAGACAGTTCAGTAGATATTCCAGTCCCATTCAGTGAACAATTGACAGTAGTAGGAGGACCATCAGAGACATTGAAACTGAGACTGAAGACTGGAGGAGTAGCTAATCTACTAGTGGAGATGAGAGAGAACTGCATAGTAGGATCAGCATCAGGACCATCTGTAAAAGAAGCATATTAATTATAGTCTATATTCATCACATACCATTGTTATTGTATCCAGTATCAGTATATGCTCCAACCACTAGTGTTTGATTCACTCCATTCTCATCAGGAATGATACACTCATATAAACCTTCATATCCTAATAGCCCATCTCTTCTAGCTAATGCAATCTGACCACTAAATCTCTTACTGAACAATGGTCGGGGAGCTAATGTATTGCCAAAGTCTCCATCAAATAAAGGTACTTCAGTTCCATTAGGATAATACCACACTCCAATGTCAGTACCATTGTTAGCACTCTGACACCACAAAGCATCAGAAGTATCATTAGGATCATTATCTATATCAATATCATAAAACTGGCTAGCATATATCATAGAGTAATCAGGTACAGGCCCAGCCAAAATAGGTAGATAGAGCTGGACACCTGTCAATTAGAGTATGATTACTATAAAATAGCAGTGTCTATTCTCTTACCATTACTGGGTAAGACAGTAGAGAGTGGTGCTTGTCCAGATACAGATACCAGTTGAACTAGAGCTAGCAGAAGTAGCTGAAAACAAGAACTCTTTAAGAGTGCCATCTGCTTTCTCATTCTCCTTTATTATAAACACTATTATAACCTGAGAATCATGTGATCAGCAGTATCAATTGCTGACATTGTAGTATCATTATGGGATTGAAGGAATGTGTCATCATATCACTACACACTAGATAACAATAACTTGTAGTGGTAAAGTAATCTATCCCTAGTATAGAATTTCCACCTACATACCCTAAAATAGCAGCTAATCAAATATCTAAATTTACTATAAGTAAACACTAAAATTTTTTGAATAATTTCTTTGCTACTGTGTTATGCATCTACAAATTTTGAAGTCTAAAGTTGGAAATTTTTAAAGTTGATAAAATATGGCCAATAAACTCTTAGTATCTACAATGTACAGATGGTAGTAATAATATACACAGCACTGTATAGCTGCACATTGCTTGTCATATTTCAAAAAAATTAAATCTTATGTGGCATCAGATCAGTTTGAAACTTATACATATTTTGTCAAAATCAACTTATTGTCATTAATAAGCAATTTATTTTTGAAATAATACAGATCTAATAAATTAAACTAAAATAACACACGTTGTCCAAAATACTATCTACTTGGTATATAATATGCTGACGTTTTTTAAAAACATGAATACTTGCATGACTGAACAGTGCACTAGACATAACATTAAACAGTTGGAGTAGTGTATTCAGTAGCTGGTGGATGAGAAGTAGGAGTCTCAGGCTCAGTTGTACTGCACTTTGGTTCATCAGTTGATCTATTCAATTGTAAAATTGACATATTAATTATTCAAAACAAAAACAAACTTTGTTTTAAATTCAGTAGTAGCATATGCTGGACTGCATTCCATTACAATGTCATTTGATTTTCTATTTCAAAAATATGTAAAACTTAAAAATTAATTGTAACAAATGTACGTGTATCACCTTTTATGATTAATATTTGATATTTTCACACACAAAACAGATACTACTATAATCAAAGCCAGCACTAGTAGTATGATGGGTATGTAAACTACAGTTACACCAACTATCAATCCAGTGTTTGTAGTCACAGTACTTGTAGGAATAGGACCTATAAATAGAAACTGATTACATTTTAACACATGCACCATTATCATTAAGATTTCTCTTATTTATTGACACACATGCACCAAGTGTAATTTAAAGGACTTCAAATTATAAATACTATAGTCTATTTGATATGATATTAATACTATGAACACTTTACAAACCTGACAGCAGATGTATATGCATACTCTCTTCTCCTTCATAAATGATTCCATTAACATTAAATGATGTAGATATAGAGAACAAGTAGTTCAGATTAGGATCTAATCCTCCTATTAGACCTTCAGTAGTATCACCTGGGAATACTCTCATTCCTGTCTCTACTTGTCTCTTCTTTCTTGAGGAGCTACTGGTTGACTCATAATAAACGGTATAATGACTAGCTCCAGGAACTGAACCCCACTCAGCTACTACTACTGTAGGAATTAACTTTGTTACAGAAAAGGTTTCGACGACAGCTATAATAATAAAATGATTATAATTAATGATAAATAATGCTTACGTATTTCAGCAGTAGCATAGTCTCTATCAGTCCATTCTCCTGGTCCAATACTAGTATATGCTCTCACTCCAATAGTATAACTAGTATTAGGTATCAATCCTACTATAATGTAATGAGTGTTAGTAGTGTTAGTTATATTGTATGGACCAGTACTGGTAGACTCTCTATATCTTATCACATATACTGTAATAATACCATTAGGTATTGTAGGAGAATTCCATGAGATACTGATTTTTTCTAGTGTAGCATTTTTTTGTTTCAGATCAGATATCACACCAGGAACTGTGTTAAGATCATGTTAAACTAATCAATATCTCATTGACTTACTTGATTCAGCAGTTAATTGTATTTCTTGCCTAGCTGGTCCAGTTATATCATACATATATGATGTTATTCTCACAGTATAGTTGGTATATGTTATTAATCCTGTGAGATTATACATTCTGTTGTCTCCTCCAGTGATATTAACAGTATAACTAGTGTTTGAAGTGATGTTAGTGTATGTGAGGTAGTATCCAGTGATTGGTCCATTCCTTCCATTGCAAGGTACTTCATCCCATGAGACAGTCATTGACACTGACTCTACTGATGAGAATATAATATCATCCACTGGAGCAGTAGGGGCTAAAGAGAAAGAATGGTAATAGTTTTCAAAAATTTAAGGATATTATTTTACCAGCTGAAGGTGTATTTGCCAAATAGTTAGTAGTTAAGAAAACTCTTAGAGATCCATATACTCCAATAAGATCAAAGGTACATTGACTGTAAGGAGATATACCAGTTGAAGCATGTGGTGATAAAACTGATGTTTCACTATTACTAGTGACTAATGATTCACATACTCTACTACATCTCCTATTAATATTATAACTAATTGGTACTACAGCAGTTGGTGGACTCCATGTTAATGTAATGGCAGAAGTTGTATTCAAGGTAGCGATTAAATCACTAACAACAGGATCACCTGAAATAATATACATGTATAGCTTATTTTAATAGTTACATGATTATCTTACTGAATGTTAACATAACTGAAGTACTACCACTAGGTAGATGAGCTGATCCATAAGATACTACATAGAAAGTGTATGTAATCCCTCGAAATAATCCTGATGTTATATTGATTGTTGTTGAAGCAGTAGTGCCTGCACTAACAGGAGTAATACTAGACAGTTGATAGTAAACCTCATAACCAGTAGCTCCTGATACAGTAGACCAGGAGAGTCTTACATGAGCTAAACCAGTACTTAATCTTGTAGCAGTTAAACCAGTTGGAGTATTAGAAACTGAGTTATTAATAATAATCATACGTTATAGAAATAATGAACACTAACTTGATAAACTCAGTGATGTGGTACTACTTAATGCCTGAATGTTTCCAATACGACCATTGATACCATCAGTTACTCTGGTATTAGATACAGTACACTGATAGCTACCAGCTCCACTCTGTCTCACTGTTACTGTCACTCTTGTAACAGATCCTGGTCCATTCACTATCACACGAGACAGTTCAGTAGATATTCCATTCCCATTCACTGAACAACTGACAGTAGTAGGAGGACCATCAGAGACACTAAAGCTGAGACTGAAGACTGGAGCAAGTCTACTAGTGGAGAGAAGAGAGAACTGCATAGTAGGATCAGCATTAGGCCCATCTGTACAAAGTAAGCACATCAATTATGGGTAAATCTATAATCATATACCATTGTTATTGTATCCATTATCAGTATATGCTCCAACCACTAGTGTTTGATTCACTCCATTCTCATCAGGAATGATACACTTGTATAAACCTTCATATCCTGATAGTCCATCTCTTCTAGCTAGTGCAATCTGACCACTGAATCTCTTACTGTACACTGGACTAGGAGCTGATGAATCATTAAATGGTCCATCAAATAAAGGTACTTCAGTTCCATTAGGATAATACCACACTCCAATATTAGTACTAGTGTTAGCACTCTGACACCACAAAGCATCAGTGACATCAAGAGGATCATTATTCTGATCATGATCATAAAACTGGCTAGCATATATCATAGAGTAATCAGGTATTATCCTGTTCCAATAAGGTAGGTACAATTGAACACCTAGATTAATTATAATTAATTGAACTGATTTAAAATTTAACATTGTTTTAGATCTCTACCTACCTATGTTGAGTTGAATGAAAGGTGCTTCATGTCCCATTCCTTCCCCTAGTTGAACTAGCAGAAACACAAAAATTCCAACAGTAGTCCATTTCATCCTCTTTCTCATACGCTATTACACTTGTATTACACTTATATTATAGGGATAAGGAAGCAATCCACTCTTGCCAATAGTAAGGCAGTATTACTATGGCTTCATATCATTAGCAGTGAACTATGTATACAATTTCTGTTGACATAGATAATAGTAGAACTAGAAGTTGATAACATGTTTGCTTATACCTTTAGAAAAAAACACAATATAATTCAGGTGTATTTTTTTGGCTTATTATCCTTCATTTGTCATTGCTTAATTTGAAAAATTTATTGTAAAAAATTTGCATTTTAGGAATGACTAAAATGTACATAAATATGGTTAAAAGCTATCCTTACTTTTTAATATTCAGTACGTAGTTTTGTATCATACTAGCTCAACAGTTAGCGTGGATCTATTAACAACTTCAATTACTGACTGTGTTTGTTTGCACTCTACCATATGCTACGACTATCTTTCATTAGCTCATTAGCAGTACTGTGTGTGTACATACATGTAGATTGTAGGCTATAATCTCATGAGCCAGCCTATATACACAGTGGAATACTTTATAGGCTCTGGGCTGTGAGATTATGTGTAGATTGTAGACAGAGTGTATTCTCTACTTCCCATCTACATGTATATCCCTAGAGTACATTAGTTTTAGTCTCTCTAGCCACTATTCCCCAGCCTACAATGATTGGGGTCCACCCCGATGACTGTAAGCTGGGAAATGGTCTGGCTAGCAAGACTATAGCAGTTTATATAATAGTGTATCAGTTACAAAAATAGATTTATTAATAGTTTAAGCAAAATTGATAATGTGTCATTTGTGTGAAACAAAGGGGGGAAGGAAAAGGGGGAGGTGAATGATGAAGTGTCAAATGAATAGGAATAAAAAAGGGTTCCTTTACTTATTAGTAACCAAGTAGGTACTAGAAAATGTAGTAGCAATAATACTAGTTATTATTATTATGATCATTATTATTGTAGCTCTGTTAATGGAAGAGGCCAAAGACTGATCACGTTCCAACCAAAAGTAGGCGGCGGTTAAAATCGGACACTCTTACTCATATAGCTTGGAGCTAAACGGACTCCTGTTCTCTCTGGACGACCGACCCCCAGGAGGGGACCCGGGACAGACATTTTCTTGGCACTGGTTGAACGAAGGGAGTGCGGCTTAGGACCTTCTGATCTTAACTTGCAGATTTCTAAAAAAAAAAAAAATATTTGAGCGGGTTTCAACAATCAAATTTAGATTTTTTGCAATTTTTCAGAGTAACTAAAAAAATCAGGTCGAAGTCCCTGTACCATAGTGCAGAGTCAATGGCCAAATTTTGCCAAACATGACTAGGACAGAATTTTCTATTTTTATATATTTTTTCTGATACATATACATGTTCTTATGTTGTGTAGCAAGTTTGAGCTGATTCCAATAAAAATTGGTTTTTTAATGAATTTTTTTAAGTTGCTCAAAAATCAGGCCAAATACCAAAGGCCTTTGGTACTTGGCCAAATTTCATCAAAAATGGCTAGGAGAAAATTCTCCATTTTAATAATTTCCCTGATACATATACATGTTTTTATGTTGTATACCAACTTTGAGCTGATTCCAATGAAATTTGGATTTTATATGAATTTTTGAAGTTGCTCCAACTTCCAATATGCCAATGTATGTACTGTACAAGCAATATTAGGTATGTCAGATGCTAGCTGTTTAGCACACTTCAATACATGCTTTATGGGAAACCCAGCATGCTTACATGTACATGTACACAACCAATTGTTATCGCTTAGATCAGGACTGATATCAGTCTGAATCTGTACTGATATCAGTCTGAATCTGTACTGATATCAGTCCTGAATCATGGCTTTCGTGTAATCAGTCATGATACAACTGTGAAAATCAGCCATGATACAATCATGATAAAATTTGTACTAATTCATGCCAGGATATCAGGCATGATCTATAATAAAACCTGTCAGGGCTGTACCAGTATAGAGTATCAGACACGGTCCATTATTTTGGGGCAAAAGTGCTGATTCAGGCGTGATAATGAGCATTAATGATGATTAATTAATTAATTAATGAGGAGGGCTGGTTTACAATTTACCTGAAATAGCAATTTGCAGTTTGCGTCTGGCTCCAAGTGTGGCCACACCCACTTCCTTCAAATCTTCTTCGTTCATCGTCAGAAAGGTCTCAAAATCAACCTATACATGTACATGTACGCAGTGTATCACGACAACACCCATAACACTCACTTCCTCTTCGGCAAAATTGCTTTCGTATTTCTCCAGTCCTAGTTTCACTAGCAGGCTAGACAGATCTGTGGTGGGTGTGGTCAATTAGTAAAGCCATACTACTTAGGAAACCTTACCTTTGATGTCATCATAGTCGCTTTGCTCTCGTGTCAAGATGGCCTGTTCCCTCTCTAGGGCAGCTGAAAGAGAAAGAAACTGTACATGAACATGTACATGTAACTAAAGACGTACATGCATGTACATGTACATGGATTATGGTGTAACAGAAAAAAATGGCGGAATCATAATACAAATCCTATGCAAAAATAACTAAAAATAATCATAAAGCAAAAAACTTTTGCTTTATTCTGAGCAATGACTTGTGGTTGAAAAATCCCTAATTTTAAATGCTGCCAATGTTTCCTGCTGTACTGTATACTGTACATGTATAACTATAATATCATTATTACCTTGGCTCATGAATGGATTTGCCTTCAAATTGCATTTAGGAAAAATAAAATAAAATAGATAATAATATGTGTAATAATGAAAAAAAATTATACACAATACCTTATGTGTGAAATCTCCTCCACCAGTCTTACTCAGATAATACTCCCTCTCTACAATCAGTACAATGTACATTAAAAATATGCACTCAAAAATACATGTAATTACACATTAATAATACATGCATGTACACTGTACAAGCTAGTACATGTACATGTACATGTAGATACTTTTAAAGCATGTATGTACATGTACATGTACATGTATTTACCTTGATTCATTAAGGCATTGAAGCTTGTCTAAGATTCAAATAAAGAATCATTATTCAATCAATAAATATTGAGAGCCATTCTTCATTACCTTGTTTAAAGAATCCAGACCCCTTGGAAAAGCAGACAGTGTTCCCTACACAACAATTATTACAATTTTGATTTAATGTTAAATGTATTGTACACTTACTAGATTCTTCTCAGTTCTGGGGGCAATGGGCATCGATGTAGAGAAGAAATCCCCAGACCACTTGTTAGTGGGGTAGCGTGGAACATCAGGCTCAATCTTACTCTTCCTGGCTATAGAAGTGAGATTGAACAGAATCAGTACATGCATTGCAATTCAAAAATTTAGCTACTACAACATCTGCTCAAAATTTCTATATAGCATACATGTATCTACATGTACATGTGCATGTAAGTAACTTAACTAGAGATACCTTCATACAGAGTATTGACCTTTACTCACCAATGTTATAACAAGGAAACTGACATTAGGGTGCTTTTAAAAGCCAATATTTTAAAAATAAATGTACACTAATTGTCATTTTTTGCATTTTGACAACTAAAGGAAGACTTCCAGATAAATGGAAACTAGGCATTAACACACACATTGTGTACATGCATTTCATTATGCTAAAACTACGTACATGTACCTTACCTTGTTCAGCCTTTTCTCTCCTCTGGTCGTAATCAACAAACGATTTTGCTGTCAGTTTTCCCTTTCCTTGAGATTTATTGAGACTGCTCTTCAGTGGATCTGATTCCCGTTCCTGTTCTTCCGTACCAGTCTCATCTGGTTCCAAAGTCTGGACTTCCAAAATCGGAGGACCTTGAGTGGCATCAGAGGGAGGGGTCTCTGAATAATAATAATAACAATAATGAAAACAGTTATTGTATTTTTCTTTTTTAATTTGTACTATTATCTGCAAAATTTCACACATGATTTTGGAATAGTGCTTATCCACCTTGTAAAAAATTGGGCTAAAGTCCCTGTACTACAGTACAGGGTATTTTGTCAAAAATGACTAGAAGAGAATTCTCCATTTTTATAATTTTTTCTGATACAAATACATGTTCTTATGTTGTGTAGCAAGTTTGAGCTGATTCCGATCAAATTTGAATTTTTTATGAATTTTTAAAGTTGCTCAAAAATTGGGCCTGTGACCCAAGGCTATAGCCTTGGGTCACAGGCCAAATTTCGTCAAAAATGACAAGAAGAGAATTCTCCATTTCAATAATTTTTTTCTGATACATATACATGTTCTTATGTTGCATATCAACTTTGAGCTGATTCCGGTAAAATTTGAATTTTTTATGAATTTTTAAAGTTGCTCCAAATGCCATGTACTGTATTGTAGTGCTTGTCAGCTCATGAAGCTCATGCTGTTTAGCTCACTTAGCATGCTTTGTGGGGAACCCTGACTGATACACAGTACTTAACAATAAAAGTACATGTACATGTACATGTACATGCATACACGTATATTCGTACCAGATACTTCCTCTATTTGTTCCATGGTTTGTATGGCAGGAGATGAGTGATGCTGCAATTGTACTGGACGAGAGAGAGTGCTGCAGGCTAGATCAAGTATCTTCTGACGAGCAATATAGACACAGTCAATGTTACGCTCGATACTTTTAACAATAAATGACTGAAGGAGAGAGAGAGAAAAGATAATGAAAAAGATAATAATTGCCAAATTTATTCTGATTTTTAATAGCTATAATTTTAGCAAATACATGTACATGTAATTGTTGTACATGTATAATATACTGTACAATATTGTTATTCCATAATGATTCAAATTAGTGAATTTTATAGTGAAGGATTATACAACCATTATGCTTGTGTATTTTGAACATTACAATTGTACATTTTTTGCTTTCTTTTCTAATTTGTCTGCTCCACTAATATAAACTGTGTATGCATATACACATACACCATACAACGTATGTACATGTACATTGCAGGAAATTCATACACTATTTCCTCATTACCTGTATATAGTTCTTCCCTTTTGGTTTCATACTGATGTATATATCCAATGACTGCATTAATTCACCAAGATATCCTGAAATATACTAGAATATACAGGACTACATGAAAATTAATACTATTACCTGAGGTCAACTGCTCTGATTCATCAATGACATCAAATAGAATAGCAACTGGCAAACAACCCTATAGAGAGAAAAAAAATAATACTTTAATGTATGCATACATGTATGTACATTGTATCTCTCCTTCCCTCTCTGTCTCTCCCTCTCTCTCCATTCTCCTGCAATCTTTTGAATACAATCACTGCATAAGTATGGTCTATATAAAGTGCTGTAGGTTGTTTTCTCTCTCCCTCTCTCTCCCTACCATTATTCTTTGTCTAGCATCAAACACGTTCTCTAGTCCTCCAATGATGCTGATCTGACTGCTACGATAGCGTGAATGAGGATCAGGAAAATGGATCCTAAAAATTAAAAACACCAGACACTTGAAACTTTAATTTTGATAATACTCATAATTAAACATGCATACATGTACATTGTACAACTATTAAATGGTTCTCCATCCCATCCAACCAGGATGACATTATGCTCCGTTTGAAGCACTACTAAAGAATTACAAGTACATGTACATGTAGACAACACCACTATAGATTTTAAAAAATCGTTTTTCCCGAATAATAATAATAATAATAATTACATGTACGTGCTTACGATGTGCAAGTCTCATGCATGATGTCCTGAAGGTTGCCTCCATCAATACCCATCACTGTACGCTGGTGCTGGACTGCAATATCAGCAAACAAAGTGACCTCAGTAATAGGAGGATAGTCACCTACAGTACAATGAAATAACAACTAATAAATAAAAATGCTATACACACATTTATAGTACAATACATGTACATGCATGAACCTGTCAATACTAGAAGGCTAGCTAGCTGCTGACAGACAAATTAAGCTATTGCATGTGCATATACATGTACATCTATAGTACATGTGTATGTACATGTACATGTACATGTAACATTAAAGTATGCATCTACATGTACATGTACATAAAAGCTAGTCTATACTGTATATTCGTTTACCAGTGATGTATTCAATGACTTTAACAACTGCCAGTTTGAGTCCGTCAAGGAAACGCATTGAACTGCGAATGGAGACCATCATAGTGAGGGAGGGAGGGTGCTGGAGAAGAGAAACAGTAATAGAGTAATATAATATACACGTAATACATGGGATACTGTATACATGTACATGTATGTGTAACTGTAATACATGTACATGTAGCAATGAAATATAATTTCAAGGAAAGAAAGAATAAAACGAACAAGTACATGTATATGCATATGTACATGTAAAACATGTATAACTGGTCTTACTGGTTTGATGCTGATTGACACGTTATAAGTTTCACTGATTGACATCATATCTGGTGACTGAGGGTCCAATGTGATATGACCAGGAAGAGGGAGCGTCATGGAAACAACAACTGGTTGGAGATCCTGTATCAAATAATGATAAATATATAATTAATTAAAGAAATACATTGGACATGTACATATACCAAAAGAGCTAGACTTTCATTTATCATTATAATTTTTTCATTGCTTTATTACGTAATAAATGCTTCACCATTTTACAGCAATTTTTTATTATTCTTGCTATCAATAAAATAATCAATTAAACATCAATTTTACAATTCACTTACTCTGACACTCATTCTTGCAGTTTCAACAGCTGGTAGTGATCCAGTGATTGATACCTGATCACTCTTCTCTCCTTGAGCGTAACGATTGGAATCAGGGAAATGAATATGACACTGGGTATCATTATGAACTGTACAGGAGGGAGAGAAAGAGGGGGGGAAGAAAGAAAGAGAGAAAGAAATAAAAAAGAATAAAGAGATGGAATAAGAGGAAAATTACATGTATATATAAGGATCAGGAAAGAGAAGCATACATGTTACATGAAAAAATGATAGAAAAGTTATACCAAGAGTAAATATCAGTTATACTGATTTAAAACTTTTCCAAATACATGTACACTTAATGTACATGTAATTCAAACAATTTCTTTTGATAAACATTGAACTGTAATGTATTTGTATACTTTGACAATGCACAAACTTGATAAAATTTTTATGGATGTACATGTACATGTACATGCATGCATACATTTATCATAATACATGTACAAATGGTTCTTTACCTTTTCTTATGTTACATCCTTCTTTACCAATCACATGCGAATGCTCAGAATTTGCAATGTTAATCTTCAGTGTGACCCTGTTATTCTTAGTATCCAGCTCCTCTAGTATCGCATCTTTGGCTTTGCTAACTCCCTCAAGGGGCCCGGCAATTTTAACCTGGGGGTCTGAGAAAGAAAACAAAATAATGGTAATTTTATAGTGACTATAGTTACTGGTGCATGAAGCTGTTTACTACAACAAACATGCAACTTGGCATCAACAAAATTCAATGCACATATTTGTAAAGCAACAGGAAGAGAAGATACATGTAAACATAATGCTTATATGTAACTGGGGTAAAATTTTGGTGAATTTCCGGTGATTGATAGATGTTAATCTGGCAAATTTGTGGCAATGCTTCAATGAGCATGCACATAATGGTTGAAATTGTGAATTTTATTTGGACAAATGACTAACAAAAAGTCAAATCTATCACATTTCCCCTTCCAAATTACCAAGTATACACTATACATACATGTACATGTACATTTATTTCTACAATGTACATACATGTATACATGCATGTGCAATTTGTACATGTAGATGTAATTGTAATTGAGTCTATCTTCATCTTCCATTACCTTTCTTTGATTTAGCTCCAATCTTCAGTCTCGATGGCCAGAGTATGACCGTCCCTGTCACTTTCATGATGTCATTAAAGAAATCATCTGCACTTCTCTTCTTGTCTTTACCAGCTAAAAGTAACACACAACCATTTCAATAATAGAATAACAAGGCAACAACAGATTGCAACATGTCACGGTACAAATGACAGGTCTCGCATACATGACTCATGCATTATAAAGCAACCACAGTGGGTTTGTATAGTGCATCAATGCAACATGAATGTACATGTACATAAGCTTATTCAGGTAGGCTTTTAGGAGATTCTATATTTAGTAGACATACAGAGTAGCTTGTACATAGCAGATTCATTTATCATAAAAAGTATGTTAATGTTATACAGAGGTGGTCTTTATGTGGAGGTTATATTGTATGTATAAAGTATTGAAATAGTTTGTTGGCTATGGAGAATCTATTTATGTCTTGGCCCATCTCTGAAGTAAATTAAATTAGACTGACAAGCATTTGATTAGTATCATATTTCAAATTTAATTATCATCGCTAGTATTCAAATTATATTATAATTTCTCATGATAATAATGATCTAATTAAGGAATTACTTATACAATATGGAATGCTACCACAGAAACCACAACTCACATCTGCAGGAACTAGAAACTACCAAGAACTTCAAAATTAAAATTGAACCACAAAATTTTTTATAATTCACAGAAAAATCTGACTTATTGTATAGCATATTGAACTCTACACTTATAATACATTAGAGTATAACACTCTCATAATGTCTTACCGACAATGAGTCGCTCTAGTTTACGTCTGTCGACTGGAAATCTCCTCTCTACATTGTCAGGATCAGAGAGTATGTCATTGTAGCGTGCCTCCTCGGGAGAGATAGAGGGAGAGGCGGGAGGGTCTCCAGAGGGAGAGGAGACGGAGGGAAGAGGAGGAGGAGGAGATGATGGTGAGCTCTGGGATTGTTCTTCGTTCGTTTTTGACGAACTGCGTTTGTCCTCCATGTTGACCCCTCGAGCAACTCTGATTTGGCAGGGGCGTGGCTGATTTGGGCAGTTCAGCCACGCCTACTAATTAGACTTCTCGCTACGAGCCCCACCCTCTTTCATCAATGGAAGAAGCAGCTGACGATTCTAAAGAGAGTCAAATTTTACTGGAAGAAGGAGAAGACGAAGAAATAGAGCCAATAACAGAGAGAGAAAACCTAGAAATGGAGGGCGAAGAAGAGCTCTTACTCAAATCACGTCAAGAGGAGTGGGGCTGGAAGGGAAAACTAGCCAGGAAGACTTGGCATCATGTTAAATCCAACCTCCTCCTTATCTTAACAATAGTCTCAGTCATACTAGGGACTATATTGGGGGTCTCCATATCCACAGCTAATCCGTCAGACCTCACAAAAACCCTGATATCCTTCCCTGGCGAACTCTTCCTTCGATCTCTTAAAATGCTCATTCTACCCCTGATTGTATTCAGTCTTATGTCCGGTCTTGGATCCCTTAAATTAAAAACTGCAGGTGCACTGGGTCTTCGTACGCTCCTCTATTATCTAACGACCACTTGTCTTGCAGTGACCCTTGGTATTATATTGGTGGTCAGTATCAGACCTGGTAAAGGTCATGAGAGTGATGCGGAGTGTACTAACGCTACTTTAGCTGATGCTGACGCTAATAAGATTGATGTGCTTGATGCCATGCTTGACTTAATGAGGTAATGGAGAGAGAGAGAAAGAGGAGAGAGGGAGAGAGAGAAGTATTGCATATAATGGAGAAGGAATGTTGACAAGGTTTGCATTTTATTTGCATTTTTTATTTTATTTAGAAACATAATTCCTGATAATTTATTCCAAGCAACGTTTTCTCAGGTATTAATAGATATTTCATAAAAATAACTCACAAATTTTTACAAAAAGCTAAAATTTTTGAGTAAAATTGCTGTATGTGCATGTGATTGCATCCAGTCATTCGTGTATTGCTAAACTCTTAAATTTTGGCCAAATAGATTGTTATAAAATTATAAATTTTCTGATGCTATAAATGCGTTATTCTAAATGTTCTTGCATAGAAAGTTAAGCCAATTTCAATTGCATAATTTTGGTTGCAAAAAGTGAAAGAAATTGAAAAAAAAACGCTGATAATACATGTACTGGATAATACATGTACATGTACATAATACATGTACTATACTGTCTCACATTTATTTTTGGTTCTTTTATTTCTCCCATAGACCCGCACAGTATACTCCAGTGTCATTGATTACAACGACTGTGCTAACAGCTTAGGATACAACCAGTCAAATATATCAAACCTCTCATGCTCTCAACTTGCTGACCTTCTTGAGGGAGAGAACTGCCAATTAAAGAAAGTCTCCTCTCTCACTCATCAAGAAGGAATGAATATACTTGGTATCATTACCTTCACCATTGCCTTCTCTATTGTCCTCTCTACTCTTGGCTCGGAGGCCGAGGGTTTTCTGAAAGTCATCACTGTTCTTAATGATGCCGTTATGAAGCTCATTACTCTTATCATGTGGTAAGATTATGTTATGCAAGTCCAATATAATGTACTGTATAACATGCTTTGAAACAATCCTACTGTACATCCATCAAAAACTATATCACAGTTCCTGTACAGGGATTTTGGGCAAATTTTTGCCAAAAATTGCCGGGGAAAGATTCTCCTTTTTTATAATTTTTTTCTGATGCATATACAAAAGTACATGCCCTTATGTTGCCTAGTAAGTTTGAGCTGGTTTCAATTAAAATTGGAATTTTTTAATGAATTTTTAAAGTTGCTCAAAAATTGGACAAAAGTCCCTGTACTGTAGTATAGGGTCCTTGGCCAAATTTTGCCAAAAATGGCTAGGCAAGAATTTTTCATTTTTATAATTTTTTCCAATGCATATACATGTCCTTATGTTGAGTAGAAAGTTTGAGCTCGTTCTAATCAAAATTGGATTTTTTATGAATTTTTAAAGTTGCTCCGAAATTGGGCCAAAGTCCCTGTACTATAGTACAGGGTTCTTGGCCAAATTTTAGCGAAAATGGTGAGGTAAGAATTTTCCATTTTTATAATTTTTCTGATAGACGTACATGTCTTTATGTTGCGCAGAAAGTTTGAGCTGGTTGTAATCAAAATTTAATTTTTTATGAACTTTTAAAGTTGTTCCGAAATTGGGCCAAAGTCCCTGTACTATAGTACAGGGTTCTTGGCCGAATTTTTGCAAAAATGGTGAGGTAAGAATTTTTCATTTTTATAATTTTTTCTAATGCATATACATGTTTTTATGTTGCGTAGAAAGTTTGAGTTATTTCTGATCAAAATTAAATTTTTTATGAATTTTTAAATTTTCTCAAAAATTGGACAAAAGTCCCTGTACTATAATAGTACAGGGTTCTTGGCCAAATTTTGCCAAAAATGGTGAGGTAAGAATTTTCCATTTTTATAATTTTTTCTAATCCATATACATGTTTTTATGTTGCGTAGAAAGTTTGAGCTGTTTCCGATCAAAATTAAATTTTTTATGAATTTTTAAAGTTGCTCAAAAATTGGGTCAAAACCCAGGCCTGTACTATAATAGTATAGGGACTTTTGTCTGATTTTGCTAAAAATAAATGACTACGTGAAAATTCTCCATTTATACATGTATGTACATGTATATGTTTTTTTTTGATGGATACATGTACATGTGTATATGCATGTATATTGTATGATATTAATAGTCTCACCACGCCCCTTTAATATTATTTTGATAATAATAATAATAATGTAGTTATGAAGGAATGAGATGGTTAGTGGGCGTAAATTAATTAAACCCGATCGAGTCAATTTGATCGTATTCTAATTAAATTAATAAATAACAACGTAGACGTTTAGCTTAATTAATTAATTTAATGGCTAATCAAACACCAAAATAGCGAACACCACCTTAAAAGTGACTCCCTTAGCTTATAATGTACAGTATAACCTCGATTATCCGGACCCCTTTGTCCATCAGGTGGTCCGGATGGGTCCGGATAAGTGAAAAGTCCAAATAATTGAAGTGACCTTTAAAACCTTCATATACTTACTCCAAAGAAAAGCTAGAGCCTTAATCAGCCATAAGGAGGCTAAATCCAAGCCTTGTTACTAGTAGAAAGCCATTAATCAGCAGCATTCCAGTGCTAAACAAGCTACTCCGTGTAGAAAGCAGCCATTTTATAATACCATATACTCTAATTAAGTGAATTTAAAGCACCACGTGGTCACTTCCGGTCATGATTTCAGAGTCCGGATAATCGAGGGTGCGGATAATCGAGGTCCGGATAATTGAGGTGATACTGTACCTACTTTTATGTATTAGAATGATAATATTATACACGAACAGTGTACATGTACATACATGTATGACTGATATTATGCCTATGTACAGCACTGCCTAGTTATAGTCCTACTTTTTCTATTATACATGTAACTTTACAGGTACAAATACCTGCTACAAAAACCCGCCAATCACCTAAATTTAGCAATTCGCCAAATTTTAGCCCCTCCAAAATTACCCGCTATATGGTAGGTGGTGTACATACATGTACATGTACATGTACATTATGAATGAGTGATTCATTGCCTCTTGTGCACATT